GGGGGCCCCCAAAGCCCGGTGCCACTCGGCGCCCCCAGCCCCGCCGACTGTTTGCTTCCTGCCTCTTCCCCCCCGGGGCCCCGTTCCCCGCCCTCCCCCCAGGAGCCCCAGCTCTCCCCTCTCGACACCTCCCCTGGCCGGCCTCCGTCCACCCGGCGGAGGAAGCATCCCAGGAGCGAGCGGCCGAGCCCGCTGCTCTCGGCCGCGGTCGTCGGGAGGCGTTTGTGGTTCGCCGGGAGAACTTAGGGGCCGGGGAGGGGCATTTGTCCGAGTTTGAGACCTCGATTGAAGTGGGGGAGTCGAGGGACGGGACAGTGGTAGGTTCGAGGATTGTGCTGGCACTTCCTCCCCTCTGCAGCGTGGTCTCCCCTCCGGGAGCGCGTGGCTCCTAGGCGCCCCCCGATCGTCTGCGGGAGCTTTGCGATTCGGACGCAGAAAGTCCACGTCGGTCGGCTGGTCAGTTCGGAACTTTGCCTCTTCGGGTGAGGGAAGGCGACCGTCGTCGAACGGAGGGATGGATGCGGAGCGGGGTCTCTGGCCCGCGGGCACCGTGCGGTGCAGTGACTCCTGGTGACTAACGATAGTATGATCGTGCGCCCCGAGATTCCTTAAGGGGAGAGCAACTGCGACGAGAAGACGCGTTCGCGTTACCCGACCTTTTCTGGCACCGAATCTAGCCGACCTGGGATCACTCACCGCGCGGTTACACCTCTCGGGCTTTCACCCCATTTCCATGGACGGACGAAGTTGTAAGATGGTGAGATACAATCTGAAGGAACTCACACGCTAGGTGCAGGATGTGAATATTTGTATTTTAATCAGCGGCCTTCAGTTGAATCTACTTGAATTCTTTTTATGTCTGCGGTGGGGGGCGGTTTGAGAGAAATATTTGACTTTATCCACAAAGACCAAGGTAGTAGGAAGTGTTTGGGGGCACGTTTTAAGTTCAAAACCATAGTAATGAGCTAATGAAGGAATTGGTCTTCTTAGTGGATTTTTCGTCCCTAGTGGGCGAAATGAGTTATATTGGGTTTGGTGTGTACTTTCATAGAACTTTGAATTGCCCTAATGTGAAAAGACTCAATAAGGTTCCTATAGAATCGTTTCCTTTTCAGTGCTCCTGTAAAAGTCTAGACTGCCATTGAAATGACCGGGTTGACATTTAGCAGTAGACAGGATTCTTGAAAGGGAAACAAATACTGATTTAAATAGATGGTACTCTTTTGTCTGTCTAGTTAGCAACATTACTATGTTGCTATTCACTTAAGGTAGGTAGGGGAGTAATTTGTAACCCTTTGTCATAAAATTACATTGCTGTTTCCTGTTTCCTGTTTTTATCATTGCTCTACATTTTAATTTTTTTAATCATTTTATTGGGGACTCATCACAATCCATACATAGATTCATTGTATCAAGCACATTTGTTGCAATCATCATTCTCAAAACATTCTGTCTACATGAGTGAGCCCTTGGTATCAACTCATTTTTTCCCCTCCCACCCGCCTCACCTCCCTCACGAATCCTTGTTAATTTATAAATTATTATTTTGTCTTACACTGTCTGACGTCTCCCTTCACCCACTTTTCTGTTGTTCATCCCTTAGGAAGGGGATTATATGTAGATCCTTGTGATGGGTTCCCCCTTTCTACCCCACCCTCCCAGTATGGACACTCTCAGCACGGGTCCTGTCCCGGACTCCCTGTTTCCAGTTCCTATCTGTACCAGTGTACATCCTCTGGCCTAGCCAGATTTGTAAGGTAGAAATGGGATCATGATAGTGGGGGGAGGAAGATTAAAGAACTAGAGGAAAGTTGTATGTTTCATCGTTGCTGCACTGCACTCTGACTGACTCATCTCCCTGAGACCCTTCTGTAAGGAGATGTCCAGTTGCCTACAGATGGGCTTTGGGTCCCCACTCCGCACTCCCCCTCATTCACAATCTACATTTTAATTTATTGTTTTCTTGTAGCTGTGTAATACTTTAATAAGTGTGAGAAAATGTATTGCTTTGTTGACCATATCTATGCACCTTAATAGGTCTGTACCTGGGAACTAAAGCTTTTTAAATATGGTCTGAGAAAATGAAGAGTTAAGAGGGAAGGAGACTCCTTTTTGTACAGTGATCATAATTAAAGTATTTATAAACTAAAAGCTGCTTTTCTATTATGATATGAGGTGTTCCATGTTAGAGTAGAAACATGAAAGGCTGAACATGTTATGTGTTCATGAGTTTTGTTACCTGAAAATTTTTGAAATCCATTATCTCTTGATTGATCTAGTATAGGGCTACTAAAAAACAGTTTGTAAATTGGCCTCTTATAAAACAATAAACTTATTTGTTATAAGTTGAAAATATTTTACATTATAAAAATGAAAGTAAACTAAAACCTTTTCAATATCTAAAGTTTTTGCCATTACTTTTAGATCCTCAAAAATCATAGAGTGTTTGTTAAAGGACTGATAATTCATGATCATAGGCAGTTCTCTGAGAATTTGGGGGGGAGTATAGGATATCTGTTGCAAATAGCTAATTTGATACTATGGTTAGGACAAAAAGTGAAAGTTTTTTGCCACCTTTTTTTCCGGGGGGTGGGGGATAACTGAAGTTTATGATAGTTTTGTGGTTGGTTTATTAAAATATCTGGAGTCTACATTAGCTGGTAACACTCAGAAGTAGAGCGGAGGAGGGCAGAGTCAAAGGAGAGTGCCTGTTAACTATATATATGTGGTATCCTCCAGAGTAGCCAAAGTTGGTGATTCTTGGATAAGTCTCAGAAAACCGAACTCCCTGACATTGAGTGGATTGAAGCTCCTAGTGGCCCTGTAAGGAAAGGTAGAACTATCCCTGTGGGATTCTGAGACTAATCCTGGAAAGCAGTGGTTCTCAACCTTCCTAATGCTGTGACCCTTTAATACAACTCCTTATGTTGTACTGTAGTGACCCCCAACCATAAAATTATTTTTGTTGCTACTTCATAACTGTAATTTTGCTACTGTTAGGACTCGGGCGACCCCTGTGAAAGGGTCGTTTGGCCCCCAAAGGGGTCACGACCCACAGGTTGAGAACCACTGCTTTAAAGCCTTATCTTTCTCATGGAGGAGCTGGTCGTTTTGAACTGCTGACTTTGTGGTTATCATAGCCAACCGGGCCTTGTGGTTATCATAATCAACCAGGCTCCTGATCTTGGATGAAAAGTTAAAGGAGAAATTGAAGTGTGGGGATTCTTGTTCCTTACTGAATCATGGTGGCATTGAATCTATACCATAATTTTATTAATTGAGAGTAATCATTTAAACACTTTTCTCATATTAATTACAGTGAATTTTGTTTTGTGGCTTATTTTAATAATTACCTTTCAGACTTAATAATGGCCATGGAATGCTCACTGTGCTCCAGACGGGGTGCTAGATGTTAGACCCCAGTTCCTTCTAATTCTCTCAACTCTGTTTTACAGTTGAGGAAAATGGGGGCTGAGAAGTCATGGTCAAGTTGCACAGCTAGTAAACCTAGTAAGTGAGATTCTAATTTCAAGATTCTAATCTACATTAAGAAGAGGAAAAAACCACTATCATCCTGCTCTGTTAGCATGGTTTAGCATAAAAGCAATGAAATGGGGATTTTTTATTACGTTTTTTATGTAACTTGTTTTGTCTTTGCTATCAAAAGAATGGAAGAAGGGGCTGTCTATTTTAGTAAAGCGTTCCTGCCCTTGGAAACTCAGAGGGGCAGTTCTTCCCTGTGCTATAGGACGATTAGTAGTGGACATGGACTCGTGGCAGTGAGTGTACATTTTGGTCTTGGTATCGTACTGTACACGACATCTTAACAGTCAGAGGTCCCAGTAAAGGATAACACTTGGATCTGAGTCTAGATCGGATTCTCTTCCCCCATGCCCACCTCCTTAAACCAAATTGGAGGCTTTGACTTCCTACTCTCTTAGCAGCTCCATTGTGCAATGTAGTACTAGGGGAGGGAACTTCTGTTACTTTTAATTTTTCTTTTTAATCTAATT